CCCGCGGCACCACCCGCCCCTCGCCGGTTCCCCGCGCGCTGGAGCCCCGCGCGGGAGCTGAGGGGGAGCCCGTGAGCGCGGGAGCCGAGCGCCTCTCGGGGAGCCAGCGGCAGCCAGGATGGCCTCGTCGTCGGGCAACGATGACGACCTCACCATCCCCAGGGCTGCCATCAACAAGATGATCAAAGAAACGCTCCCCAACGTCCGCGTGGCAAACGATGCCCGGGAGCTGGTGGTAAACTGCTGCACTGAATTCATCCACCTCATCTCCTCCGAGGCCAACGAGATCTGCAACAAATCGGAGAAGAAGACCATCTCCCCGGAGCATGTCATACAAGGTGAGCTTCCGGAGGCGGTGCGCTTCTGCCCGGTGCGCCACGGGTCATTCAGGCTTTGAGCCACTCCTGTCCCGCTGAGACTCGGAACTCTCTCTGTGGTTTCTTGTAAAAGACAAAGCTATGTAAAAGACAAAAGGCAGGGGTCTTTTAAGGGTCTGGAGGGAAAGCGTGTGCTGTCCGGCTTGTCGGTCGCATTGCAAGGGAAGGTTTGTCTTTGTGTGGTTACGACGACTGTTGAGTGGGCTCAGGACCAGCTCTCGTTTTGTGGTTCGGAGATGTCCGTGATGCTTTGAGTGAGGTCACTAAATCCATTCGTCTTTTTCGTACCTGTGGAACGAGGTCTGCTTTTTCGAACGGTTATGTGGGTTCCTTTTACAGCATGTATTAATATACTGAATTTATTAAATCTCTTTCTAATCGGAGAATGATGAAAGATGTATGATTGAGTATGTGGACCCCAGGCATCAATCCAGAGTTGTCCTTTCTTGTTCCTATAGAGAGTGAAATATTCCTCTAGGGCTGTCCTTGGAGTCCGATCATTTAACTGAAAGAGTACTTCATCCTGTTGCCTGGTAGAGATGTTAACAGTAGCATTTGCGGTAGAGCTATTTTCAGGACTATGATGGTATGAACGTAGATTTTTTTAAAAATGTGGTTTTTTGGTAATGATCCTCTGTTTGAAACGAGAAAAAAAACCAACAACTGATTCCTTTGGACTGTATCAGCTTGCTCACCAGAAGAATTTCAAGTACTTGACTGGATTATGAACAGCAAAAGAAAATATGTAGAGTGTATGAGCTTTAATATTAATAAAATACCTGTAAACCTGGAAGTTTAGCAAAACAACTGCATCACAGCAGCTCAGGATGTAAAGAGTAAAACTTGTGCTTGCAAGTGGAAGCGTACTTTGGGTATGATGCTTCATAATACATGGATGGTTTCTTCAAATGACCACCAAAATGTTTGAGCTCAGTTATTAACCCAGGAATAGACATGATCTTTAAGGTTGAGGATAATAAGGAATTCATGTATGAAAGTATTTTTTGCCCAGTAGTGGTGGTCCTCAGAAAAGATTTCACCTGTTGCTGCCCTAGGGTTAGTCTACATTTTTTGGAAAACAAATTTAAACTAAAATGTGCATGTGTGTGGATATCGTCAGCAGGTGGTCGCAAACCAAGTGTTTCACGGGGTTCTATGTCTTTGTGTTACCAGATTTTAGAGTTGGGAAAAATTATTTTCAAATTAGATCTGTACTTCTTAGTCAAGTATTGCAAAGGAAGACTTTGGAGATGTATTCATTTTTGTAATGCTCTGGAGAGGGAAGGAGTTGTTCTTAGATTTTCTGCTGTTCTTATCTTTAGGGAAGTGTATGTGCTATTAGCTGCTTCCAGATGCTGGTCAGTTGGCAGATGATCCCTCTGTGAGGTACGAGGCTTTAGATGGCTAATTTTGGAAGCAGTGATTGTGTGTATATAGGCATAGTATTCCTGCATTTTCATCTGTCTTCATACATTCTAGATACTTGCTATTTTGGCTGCCTCTTAATGTAGCTCTGTGACAATGATGCTAACAAATTAAGTAATTGAAATACATTGTTTGTAGTCATCCAGATATCTTGTTCCTTTTGAATGCTTAAACCAGCTCATTTAGAAGTAAAATGAGGCTAAAGGCCATAGCATCATAGCTGGTCCAATCTAAACACAGGGTGCTGCCAAGAAGAATCTTTCTGTACCCTCTTTAGATCTGGATCTAGCAATTGCTGATACAACTGACCCTGTGGCTTTTTGAGAGTGTAGTGGGGGAACACGGTTTTCTGTCAGGGGAGTTTGCTGATCTGACTGTTCCTGTAAACAAGAAGTTACTAGATTGGGAGCAAAGAGCAGGAATGGTATTTCACTGACAAGGAGGAAGGGGAAAGAGATGCTTTGCGGTTGGTGACAGCCTGCCATTGTGACTGTATTAGAGGTAATGTGAAGCTGCACTTCATCACTGTACTTACGTGTTCGGTAGCAATGGTGTTTAAGATGCCCTTTCCTTTGCTGTACTGTTAAAATGATTGTGTGGT